AGACATGCTCTGTTACGATGCGACTTGACTGAGAAGACATTTTCACAACCTGTTGATTATCTGTTATTGTTGTTTGTTTTATTTTAATTTCCCCATTTCTGTGTGCAACGTATGCTTTTTTTGTTGTTGTCCAAAAGACTTACTATGCGGTGTGCTATTTACAAAGGACAGCAATCTTCCCGTTACTTATTACTCACCACGTCTTCCACTCACCCCCGCCCTTGTTTTATAGGCATGAAACAGTACAAAACAAAAGATAAAAGAATAGGTAAGAACAGAAGCAAATGAAAGAACTTTTTAACTGTCTAAGACAACCACTTTTCCCCTCGAAGATATGCGGCCCTCTCCGTCATGTAGGTTATATCAGTACCGAGGATAAGAGATGTCACCAGAAAGTTTGATAGGGAAGAGGTAGCATACCACACCACACATCCACAAATTACCAACACGATACTCAATAAATATGAGGCATCAAGGTGAAATCAGGCGCTATATAGTTTCCAAGGACTCAAATTCGGAAGTGACCAAACTTTGACGGTCAATTTCTCTCTATTTTTTTTTCTGCTGACACCAGGTGACCCCCACATCTTTCAATCGCAAATATCTCAAACTCTATAGAAGACAGATGGATAATTGTTTTCTTCAGAAACAGTACAAATGAACAAGCTTGAATATAATTTCTATAACTTCATATGCCCCAAAATAATTGTTTTCTTCAGAAACAGTACAAACGAACAAGCTTGACGATAATTTCTATAACTCCATAATATGCCCAAAAATTGACAAGCACCTGATTCCACCGTGTCGTTACCCAAATTAATGGTCAAGAAAAAGTCTCACCTGTGACGTAACAAAGTCCGGCGGCCGGTCGTGGTCCAGGTTGATACTCTCCGACTGGAACTCCGTGAGGCACCAGCCGGTACAGTCGTTTGCCTCCTCCTCCTCGGGGGCTCCGGGTTTGAGTCCCGTCTCCATGACAACGGTAGCTGGTGACGACGGAGGTGGCGGCTTACTTAGCTAGCTACAACCTGGGCGTCCCGGACAGAGGGATGATCATTCAGAAGTCTGAAACACAGGGGGTAACCAACTTATTTAGTTTTAGTTTTGGAAAGAATTTTTATTACACTTGCAACACAAAAAGGTCCTATAAGAGACGAATATTAGAGGTGTTGCAAGAGAGAAACAAACATAAAAAGAAGGACGGGGAGACAAGGAAGATTTATGTTTGATTTGATTGATTGGGTAGATGTTTTACGGCACTATCGATACAATTTTGGTCATTTAAGCGCCAACAGGTTTCACCGCTACAAAATCAGACGTGTTTTTAGTAAGAGTCTTTCGGAGCTCGCAACCGCACATAATCACAGTTTTCATTATGCTAAAAAGACAAACAAACATTTATAAACATTTTTTGGTAAATATGGAAAAGGCTTATTTACATTTGTATATACAATATTAATTTCAGTGTATGTATATATTACACCGATAACGTTTACTATATGTGAAGCGTGCAGACAAAATGAGTTACTTCTCGGATTTGAGCCCTATAAAAATAGCTGATACTTCATGCTTATCAATGAAGTTTTTACAATTCATAAGCATGAAATAATATAAGGCATGTTATACGTAAAGAATATTACATTAATGGAAAATCTACAAATTTGATCCTAGAGTCGATTTTTTGCCAATATCTCTATTTGTGGATTGTGAGAAGTAACTCATTTTGTCAGCACGTCTCACATATATTTCCATATTCTATTAAATAGTCCAATTTCTTTTATATAACTTAAAAATTTTCTTGGCTCTGCGATGTCAAAAAGGGTCTTAATATCTTTACATTTAAAATATTTCTCACGAACATAATTAAATTCGACACATTCCGTTAGGATGTGCCGAACTGTGAAATCTGTGTTGTACGCCACGCAAAAAGGAGCCTCCTCTCCTTCGAGCAAATGTTTGTGCGTGACGTGCGTGTGTCCTATCTTTAGTCTGGTAAAAATTACTTTTTTGATAGGAAAGAAGGAGCATACCACAACATAGCACTCGCCAATCACCCACATTAACTCATC